TGGCATAAACAAATTCAAGAACTACTATTGCCTAGGCCTATCCTTTTCTAATTTACAGCTTCTATTTGCATATTCAGGCCTAAACCCCTTTCTTTTGAATAAATGTGTAGCAGAAAAGCAATGCTAAAGCAATGCAGAGTAAAAATTTAAAACATATCGATATTAATTAAAAAAAATAAATAAATAAAATATTAAAAAATGAAGAAAAAAAATTGGCATAAACAAATTCAAGAACTACTATTGCCTAGGCCTATCCTTTTCTAATTTATAGCTTCTATTTGCATATTCAGGCCTAAACCCCTTTCTTTTGAATAAATGTGTAGCAGAAAAGCAATGCTAAAGCAATGCAGAGTAAAAATTTAAAACATATAGATACTTCGTTGTACACTACAGGATGTTTAGCAGTACCCTGGCCTCAACTCACGAGGTTATTAGTGGCACTTCTCCCTCTCACAAGTGGCAATAATCAAAAATCTCTTCAGACATCAACAAAAGACCCCTTGAAAGCAAAACTGCTCCCAGGTTAGAATCACTGTTTTAGAGAACTGTGGTTAATGGTCTATCATAGGAGAAATATAGTTAATTGTAAATAATACAATTAGAATTATGTAGTCTCCTATAATTTTCTATAAGATTACTTATAAACTCTACCTATGGGTAGTGTTTCCCAGTTCCCATAAGTTCGGTATTTATCTATACCCAGGTACTGTGATATCTTCACAAATTCCCCTCAAAAAGATGACAATTTTGAGAAGAACTCACTCTCCAAACTCCCATTTTTGCCTGGAGACATAGTTATCGGTAGAGTGCTTGCATGAAGCCCTGGGTTTGAGCTCCAGCACCACACAAACTGGCTGTAGTTTTACACATCTGTAATCCCAGAACTCAGAGGCAGAGGCAGGAAGATCACAAATTCAACCATCCTCAGCTACACAGCAAGTTCAAGACCAGCCTAGGACACATGAGACTGTGCACATATACATACACACATAGCATAAAATATCATTGCTAGATTCAGGAGGGAAAGAACACTGAGTGTTTATATACAGTTTTTTACTTCCTCCCTTCCACCCCTTTTCAAGTGTATGTACGTATAATGTGCATATGGGGGGATACGAGAGTATGTGCATGTGGAGGTCTGAGTTGACGTCAGGGATCTTCCTCAACTGCTCTTCCATTTTCTTCTTTGAGGCAGGGCCTTTCAAGCAAGGCCAGAGCTCACCAATTCAGCTACTAGTCAGCATGCTCCAGGGATCCTGTTTTCTCCCCTCTCCAAGCTTGGAATTATAGGCAAGCCACCCATCTGGCATCTACACAGGTCTGGGGATCCAAACTCCAATCCTCTTGCTTGCATGGCAAGTGCTTTAACCTCTGACCCATTCCCTAGACCCTAGATTTTGGGTTCTAATGGCAAGGTGTATCTATGACTTAAATGCTAAAGAACTATTAATTTAATCAAGTTTTAAGTGAATTCAAATTCTGCAATCAACACAAAATAATGTTAAGAGGAAGAAAAAAGGGTGTTGGGCTTCTAGATTATAGTAACAAAATTGAGCTACACTATTTAAGATCCAGAAAGAAGGAAGAGATTCATTTATATTAATTTATAATTCTAATACTTACTATCTAATTTTTGTCCTCCTACAAAAGTTTCGAGAGCAGTAGCATAGTTTTTGCCATGGTATTCACATATCCTGCACAAGAATATTAAAGACAATTTAGTGTAATACATGTGAGGTCATGGAAAATAAATAAAAGAGTTTAACTTTCATATATTGAAAAAAAATTTATTTCAGGCATATGTTAACAAGTCAGATTTCCTTTACATATAACATCTAGAGTAATTGTCATTAAAACTCAATTTTTATTTATTTATTTATTCATTCATTCATTCACTCATTCATTCATTTATTTTGGTGTTTTTGAGACAGGGTCTCCCTGAAGCCCCAGCTGACCTAGAACTTAGTATGTAGACCAGGTGGGTCTTGATAAAACTCAATTTTAATGCTCACTTCAGAAGGAATCTTATTACAATTGTACAAATTTTCCCATTTCAAAACAATTATACAAAGCAATCAGTTTATCACTTTAAGTCACAATTATCAAAAGAAATAAGCAGTACTTAGCAAACAGATAAAATAGAGTCAAAGGTTTTTGTGTATCATTAAATGTAGCTATCCAGGAATAGGACAGAGAATATTCATCTGTTCCACCTGTACTTTGCAGTTACCTCAATTATGACTATTTTAAAATCATAAATCTATTATCACACACTTCTATTAACATACTAACAAAAGCACTGTATATTTATAATATGTACAAACATAGTATCTTATAAAAGGCTTACAAGTCATTCAACAATGACTAGTTAATTACATACCCTTTTCTCAGTATAGCAGTAGAATTATTTGGGTTGAGTTCAAGAGATTTCTTTATATCGGCAATAGCATCTATATAAAAAGATATTGTTATTTTAGTAAATTAACAGATCTAGCAAATACACACACAATATGAATCAGGATCTGCAAGTTGGTTCAGCAGGTAAGGGTGTTTGCTGCCAAACCAGACAATCCAAGCTCAGTCCCCAGAACACACATGGTAGGAGAGAACTGACTCCAAGTTGTCCTCTGACTCCACATATACACCATGGCACATAACTATGGCACACACACACCCAAAAGAAATAAAGTTTAAAAAAAAAAAATCTTTTATAACCCCCTGTCAAGAAATTCCAATGGACTCTCATATGAACATTTGAAAATTGCCCTGTTCTGACTTTTTTCTAGTTCCCTGTCTAGAACTTGTAATGCTAATTACTCTTGTCTTTACTTCTCCTTCACATCTCCTATTCACAATTCAAAGACTTTCTTTTCCTCCTCGAGATGAGTTAAGCAATTTAGGTGCCTTTTAGATAGACCCACTGAAGGGCTCCTCCAATTGCCTCACCCTGCATCCCTGTTCAGCATGGAAAAAGCCAGAGCAGTCTGTGTCCTGATTCCCTATTGGCAATTTGGGTAACCTCTTCAGAGGATGAAGTGACAAGAATAGGAGGTAGGAATTGGCTAGGCAGTTAGGGTAAAAAGACCCCAAAGAAAAGTAGCCAGTTTCTTGGCTAAAACTCACAATGTCCTTGGGCCTCTTAGCAACATACTCTGATCCAAAGGCCAAAAACGTCAAAAATATTTGGGACCTTTTATCTAATCCTTAAAAGATTTTATAATTAGCCGGGCATGGTGGCGCATGCCTTTAATCCCAGCACTTGGGAGGCAGAGGCAGGTGATCTTTGTGAGTTTGAGGCCAGCCTGGTCTACATAGCGAGTTCTAGGATACCTGGGGCTACAGGGAGACCCTGTTCAAAAAAAAAAAAAAAAATAGAAGCACTAAAAATTAAAAAAAGATTTTAAAGTTACCTCTTCAGAAGGGGAAATGTTAGAGTAGCCAAAAGCCCCATAAAAATAACTAAATAAGAGCCGGGCGTGGTGGCACCTTTAATCCCAGCACTCAGGAGGCAGAGACAGGCCGATCTCTCTGAGCTCAAGGCCAGCCTGGTCTACATAGTGAGTTCTAGGAATGTTAGAGTAGCAAAAAGTTCCATTAAAAAAAAAGAAAGAAGAAAGAGTACATGAAGACATTGTCAGGAAAAAGTGATGGGGAGATATGGGAGGATCTGGAGGGGAGGGAGTGGATGTGGATTTGATCAAAACACCTTCTATGCATGTATGAAATTCTCAATAAATTATTTTTTAAAAATCTTTCATTTTTATGTTAAGTTGGTGGAAAGACAATATAGTTTAAAATGAGCCAGGCGTGGTGGCGCAGGCCTTTAATCCCAGTGCTCAGGAGGCAGAGGCAGGCGGATCTCTGTGAGTTCAAGGCCAGCCTGGTCTGCATAGTGAGTTCCAGGACAGCTAGGGCTACAGGGAGACCCTGTCTCAAAAAGACAAAAAAAAATTTTAAGTTAGGAGAAGCTAATCCAGGATACTTTAATATCTTCATTTCAGCCTAGTATTTAGCTTCCTTTTTATTTTTAAATTATTTTTACATCCACTTCCCAGATAGCACCCTCCCATTGCCTCCCTCACCCCACTAGAGCCCTTATACTCTGATATCCCTGCTACTGTCTGCTGGGTTGTCAGCACCCCCAGCCATCCCCCACTACTTGCCCTTCTGGTGACTCTAGTCAGCCTTTCTAGAGGTCTTTGTTTTAGGAGAGTCAGCTGTTCCTCATCTAGTGGTAATCAGTTGTCAATATTCCTTTGGATAAGACTGGGGTCTGCTGTTCATTTTCCCAGTTCTATGTTGGGTTACTATCTGGGAATCCCTTTGGCCACCCTGGCCAACAACTCAAAAGAAGGTATCACCTGTCTGGCATTGTTGCTTGTTATATAGCCTTTAGCTATACATATGGACTCTTATGAAATTATATTGGCCCCTTTAATCTTTGATTATACTTTTTAAACATTTTTATAATGTCTATGAACGTATCTCTGTAGGTATGTGCGCATGAATGAAAATGCCCATGGAAGCCAGAAGAGGGCTTGGATCTCCTGGAGCTGGAGTAACAGGCAGTTATCAGTAGTCTGATGTGGGTGCACATGGGTGCTGGGTATGGAACTCAGGCCTCTGCAAGAGTAGTATGTATTCTTAACCTCTTAGTCATCTCTCCAGTCCCTTCTTAAGCTTCCTTCTTAAAGCTCTTCCATCATCAATAAATAAGTTCTGTGTCCTGAAGCTCATCTCTTTTTCATATTAACAATATTGATGTAATTTAACTCAAGGCACTAAATTCTTCCCTACCCAAATACTCAGTAATTTTTTATTTATTATTTTACATATAGCCTGCATGTATGTAAGTGCAACCATTTATGCATTGCCTACAGAGGTCAGAAGAGGGCATAGGATCACCTAGAACTGGAGTTACAAATGGTTGTTAGCCACTAATTGGGTGCTGGGATTTGAACCCCGGTCTTCCACAAGAGCAACCAGTGCTCTTAACTGGTGAGCCATCTCTCCAGTCCCTTGAATAATTTTTTAAAATTTACTAACCCTGAAATTTGTAAATTCTCTCCCCATTTAATAAAAAGCATCCATCAGTTAAATGAATGTTCCTTAGCATTTTTCTCAAATGAAAGACCATGTTAAAAATCCTCAAATATGGGGCTAGGGAGATGGTTCAGCAGATAAAGGACTTACTTTGCCAACACAAGGACCTGAGTTCAATCTCCTGCATCCATGTAATACTCCCAGGTGTGGTGGCATATGCTCATAATACAAATGCTAGGAAGGCATCTCTGAGGCTCACTGGCCAGCCAATCTAGCCTAATTGCTAAGATCCAGGATTAGTGTGAGGAGCTCCACATTGTCTAGAAAGACAGCATTCCTGAGTGATCCTCAAGGTTATCCGCTGGCATACACAAACATGTACACACATACACATAAACACACAGACACACACACACAGACACACAGACAGACAGACACACACACACACACACACACACATTTAAAAAAATTCTCTAAAACAATCTCCATTTTGATTCATTTTGGCTTGGACAAAATTTACAAGTAAATTATAAAAAGAACTTTGTAAGAAATGTTACCACAGTATTTCCCAAGAAGAATGTGACAATAAGCTCTTTGACAGTAATACTGTGACTCATCTGGATTCTGTTCCAAAGCCTTGGTCAGCTCCTACAAATAAAAACATGTTGAATGTCAATAAATGATTTTTAAAGCCACCAAATTCTAATTAAAACATAATTTTTAATCAAATAATCTGCGCACAAGAGGGAGACAAACCTGGCTTTTCCTTATCTCCTCTACCTATACTAAAACACAAAATTGAATACAGAATCTATGCAAAGCACATTTGATCTATTTAAGAGCTCAAAAACTGATAACTACTATCATCACATTTATCCAAAAAGGTTAGTTGGTGTACACTGACCAACCCAGAATTTCTCCTAATTTGGAAGACTCAAAGATTATATAGAATTTGAGGTAACTAGAAAATGTAAAGCTACCCAACTTAAACACAAAAGCTTTAAACAAAAAACCCTAGAAGTTAAATCGAGAGCTGAGTGAGGTTAACAGAATGAGTAAATACACAGCCACTTGGCCTTCTATTCTCTGTCAATGTCAGGAAAAACATAACAGATTAAAACATTCTTCTCAAGGCCCAGATAAAATCTCATAGACAGCTATATCACTTGATCAAAAGTTAGAATTATAGAGATTAAAAGTTTTACTGCCCTGGATAGCCACCGCATACAGGTAGTAGCTGAAATATCAGCCATGTAAGAAAAAAAAAAAAAAAATTCACATATAACTAAGGCCAATGTCCCATATGCAAAAAGACTCTTGATTCTCTGCCCACCGCTCCCACACACTAGTTTTATTAAAAAATAAAATTAGTCACCCACCACTGACTTTGTTTTAACCTAATAACATGATGTCCATTAAACCACATATACCAGAGAATCAAAATAGACCTAAAACTAGGATTGGGCTATAGCTTAGTTGGTACGGTGCTTTTGTACTGTGCACAAAGCTTGGGTTCGTTCCCTGGCACCCATAAAACTGGATGTGGAGGCACATTCCTATAATTCCAGCATTGGTGAAGTGGAGGCAGAAGGTCAGGAGAAGCTCAAGGTCATCCTCAGCTACACAGCAAGTTAAAGGTCAACCTGGTTAACCTGAGACCTTGTCTCAAAAACTCAAAAAAACCCTACCAAAATATACGTAAAACCAACCACTTTTTTGAAAAGCACATTAACCTACTGGTCCAATCAGTAATGATCCATTCATTACTGTGTCTCTGTACAAAACTGGCAATGCCTCTCCAACCAACTCAGAGACAAAGCCTAGGTCCCCCCAAAAGGCACTCCTTGACAGGACCCCTCCATCTCTCTCACCTCTTACAATTCTTCTCCTGGCTCCTCACTTCTACTACAATGGTCCTCCCTCTAGTTCCTCAAATCTTTCTGGACTCTGTACCTGTTGCTACAACCAGGAGTGCACAGAAAATTCTTTTTTTTTTTGGTTCCTTAGTAACAAGACTACCTGAAACCCCAATGCAGAGCGTACACACAACAGTATCACCTCCTAGTTACGTGTTTTCACCCAGATTTCTCTTACCATCTACATTTGTGTTATGATCCTTGGGCTAAATAAATCTTGTACCTAATTTTAAAACAATTTTTAAAATAGCAGATAGCTTCTTACTTAGCTAGCAACACCTTCAAACCAAGCCTCCAAATCTCTTCAGTAAGAAACAGGAATATTATCCTCAAAAAGTTATAGATTTCACTGATACCAAGATCACCAAATTCAAAAGGGATTTTTAGAAATAGTATGTTAACTCACATAAGCTGACATCAGAATGAGGGAAAAGATTTTTAACAGGTATTTTTGGCTGAGGATGTGGCTCAGTTGGCAGTGTTTCCCTAGTGGGCATGAAGCCCCCTTTCACCCCAGCATCATAAATGCATGGTGTTGCATAAATATAGGACTGAAATCCCAACACCAGGAAAGTAGAGACAGAAGGATCAGAAGTTCAATATGGAATTCAAGGTCAGTCTAGGCTATAACACTCCAATTTCTTTTGTTTCCCTTGAAAGAAAATGTAGCCCAGGCAGGCCCCAAACTGGCAATCCCTTCCTTCTTCAGTCCACCAAGTGCTGTGATTACCAACTCGAACCATGTCAGGTTTATATATTTCTCTTCTTAAGAACTCAAATAAAAGTCTCTATACTTCAAAGCACCTTTGTAAATAACCTTTTAAAATACTCTTGGGGGGGGGGGGCTGGATTAAGAGCACTGGTTGCTCTTGCATAAGACCCAGGTTGGATTCTGAGCACCCACATGGCAACTAACAACCATTCATAACTCCAATTCCAGGAGATCTGATGTCCTCTTCTGACCTCTGTGGGCACTGCCCAACATGGGTGCACTTACATACATGCAGGTAATACACTCATACACGTAAAATAAAAATAAAATATAAAAAGTAAAATAAAATACTATTCAGTTGTTAGTTAAGGAGAACCAATTGTGGTGATAATTGTTCAGTTTAATAAAATAGGCAACTAACTTGATTAGGCTGTTACTAAAATGTTATAAAAATAAGCCAAATTTTTTTAAATGACAAACTTATAGATCATGAATAAAACATAGTCAGTTTGAGTAAACAAAATAAAGCCAGAAAAAAAGATAATAATTTGTGGTCTTAGGTACACATAACTTACAGAATGTTTTTAATGTTCCACTGTTTTTTGAAACATTGTTGCCTGCTAGAGTAGCAAAGTAGGTCTTCGTGCCAACATCAAATACAACAGCAAAAGGTTATTAGTGCAGAACTATGCCAAACATATTGTAAACATATTCAAAGATACACCTGCAGAAAATGAGTAATGTGAGCTCAGTGGCAAAGCATCTGTACAGCATCTACCCCATTACCACAAAAAAAAGTAGAATGAAATGAGCAAGCAACTTATAGATCTCAAACGAGATACCTTGTGAAATACAAATTATTGAAATATTTGCCATAGTGGAGAAGTACCCTCTAACCCACAACACTGAGGAAAACTTTTAAGATTTATTTTAATTTTGTGTATATGTGTGTCTGTGTGGGGGTATGCGCATGCCTGAGTGCCCAAGGAGCCCAAAAGAGGGTGTTGGATTCCCTGGAGCTAGTTATAGGTAGCAGTATGCTTCCCAATGTGGGTGCTGGAAATTGAACTCTGGTCCTCTGCAAAGTACTTCCTCTTAAGCACTAAGCCATCTCTCCAGCACCAAGGAAAATGTTATAGGCATTAAAATTAAGACTTTGGATAAACTGGGGATATAGTTCAGTTGGTACAGTGTTTGACTAGCATGCACGAAGCCCTGGGTTTGATCTTCAGCACCATGTACAACTGGGTGTGGTGGCACACACTTGTAATCCCAGAACTTGGGAAGTGGATACAATGGAGCCAGTAGTTCAAGGTTATCCTCAGCTACATTAACTATCAAGCATAACTATCAAGCATAACTATCAAGCACTACACTAAGAACACAGAAGTAAACAGGAAACACAAAACCCTGCTGTCTTGAAGAAAAAGTCATTCCTAACTTAGATTTAAACAGAGAGGCTATTTCCTCTGAGGAGTGGTCATTTCAACTAAAATCTAAAGGAAGAAGTACCCCCAAGTAACCTGAGAGATAGGTGAAGTTTGTTTTGGGCAGAAGACACAGAGTTGAGCTTAAAGCAACAGTGTAGTTCTACAGAAAGCAAAGAAATCTACAAGATGTCTATCTCCTGGTACATTACAGGCCACTGTAAGGAGGCTGGACCTTTAGAGTGATGGAAGGTCATGCAGAGCTTTAATAGGACAGTGACATGATCCAATGACATTTTTTTAAGCTGTCATTCTGGACACTGTATGATGATGAATAGAGTAAAACAAAGCAGGACTAGAAACAGAAGAAACTAAAATTAAGTCCAGGATGTATGTTAGTCAGAGGTTATAAAGTATTACACAGCACACATTCTACCTAGCAACATTTGCCAATGGGTTAAATACGGGGGACAAAAAAATCAAAGATGATTCCAGGGTTTTAGGGTAACCTAGATCTATACCCAGCACTCAACAAGCATTTGATAATTAATCATTGCTCATTTCTCTCTGCAGAGAGAATTGCCCATATTCTCTGCTTTTACTTCCTTTGGCAGAGAATGGTCTTAAATCTCAAAGTCACTAATGCCTTATTATCAAACCTAATAAATATCTGCCTTGATCATTCTGTGAGCCTGACAATGTAAGTCCAGCTTTTCAGACTACTGGTCTGCTAGCCTCTGAGTAGCTTCTCTAAGGCTTGGTACTTAAGAATTCTTCTAGGCCAGGTATGGTGGTGCACACCTTTAATTCCAGCACTCAGAAGGCGGAGGTAGGTGGATATCTGTAAGTGAGGTATCTATGAGTGGATATCTGTGAGATCTAGTAAGTCTGGTCTACATAGTAAGTTCTGGACTTTCCTTTCCAGCAGGATTCTTGGAACTCTTAAGTGTCCCAGGGTTTCACCTACTAACTGATGTGTGATGAGCCTCTTTTGAGCCCAATTAGTGCTCTTGAACAACATCCATACAGTTAGTTTTCTCTAGACCTCAACTACATGTCCCAAAGGCAACGCATATAAAATATTCAAAATTAAGGCAAGGCTTGCATGCCTATAATCCCAGCAATCACAGGATCAAAAGTTTGAGGTGAGCCTAGGTTAACAAATGAGGTTTTAAAAAAAAGTCAGGTGTGGTGGTATATACCTTTAATCCCAGCACTGAGGAGGCAGAGGCAGGTGGATATCTGAGTTCAAAGCCAACCTGGTCTAATTAAGAAATTCCAAACCAGTCTGGGCTACATAGTAATAATGTTACAAAAAATAAGAAGTCACAAAGCCCTAGTCACCCAACCAACCTTTGGACAACTGTAACACAATGTTATCATTTATAAAGTTCAGGTTTGAGAAATACAAGCAGGCCACACACACAATCTCATGGGACTAGAGAGATGGCTTGGTGGTTAAGGGAACATACTGCTCTTCCAGAGGCCCTAAATTAGAGTCCCAGCACCCACACTGGGCAACTCACAACCACCTATAACCCCAGCTCCAGGGGATCTGATATCTCTGGCCTCTGTGGGCACCCTCACTCACAG